AACTTTTGAAAATCATTAAGAGTCTTCAACCGATCTCTCCTTAGCTGTACCTTTTGGGGTCTAATTTTTTGTAGCTCTATCTTATATCCTAAGTAGTTAATAGAATCTCCTCTTTGTATTTTTTCAGGAGCAATTTGCAGTCCCCAGCGAGGCAAAACTTTTTTTACTTCTTCAAACATGCTTTCTAATGTATCTAACTTTGGATCAGCTAATAGGATATCATCCATATAGTGATAAATTATGGATTGTGGAAACTTTACACGAATTATCTCCAATGGTTTCTGCACAAAGTATTGGCACAAAGTAGGGCTGTTTAACATTCCCTGTGGGAGGACCTTCCATTGATATCTCTTGACTGGCTGAGAATTGTTATAATTAGGTACTGTGAAGGCAAATTTTTCTCTATCATTTTCTTGTAAGGGTATGGTAAAGAAACAGTCTTTTAAGTCAATGACTATTATAGGCCATTCTTTAGGTAGCAGAGAGGGCAAGGGCATCCCAGTCTGTAGGGAGCCCATTGGCTGAATTACTTTATTAATAGCTCTCAGATCTGTCAGCATTCTCCAATTACCAGACTTTTTTTTAATAACAAATACAGGAGAATTCCAAGGGCTGGTAGATTCTTCAATGTGTTGAGCATTTAACTGCTCTTGAACCAGCTGTTCTAAAGCTTGTAGCTTGTCTTTTGTCAAAGGCCATTGTCCAACCCAGACAGGTTTATTAGTTAGCCATTTTAAAGGTAAGGCAGTTGGTACTTCTGAGGGTTCAATAGCAGTTGTGCTCTGTTTGTGAACAGCCTGAATGGTTGGTGCCTGATTTTTATAGCATGTGATGATATTATTCCTAGAAACATGCATTTGTCTGTATTCTTTTTCTGAAAGTGTAGGAATTTTAATCTGGGTATTCCACTGTTGTAACAGATCTCGGCCCCAAAGATTTACTGCTACATTTGCTACATATGGCTTCAGCCTTCCTCTCTGTCCTTCTGGCCCTATGCATTCAACCCATCTCGAACTCTGTTTTATCTGAGATAGGGTGCCAATCCCTAAAAGTTGGACATCTACCTCTTGAAGAGGCCAATTTGGATGCCATGATTTTGGTGTAATTATAGTCACATCTGCACCTGTGTCTACCAGTCCCTCCATAACCAGGCCATTAATTCGAATTCTAAGCTTTGGTCTTTGATCATTTATGGAAGTCTGCCAAAATATTTGTTTTATAGTGTTCTTTGTAAACTGTGATCCATCCATCAGAGCTGTTTTATCATCCATTGCAGTATCGGTTTTTACATTAAGCATTGGTTTATTCAGTTGTCTTGGAGAGGAATTTCTTCCACAGTGGCTGGGAATGTTCGTACTACATTGGATTTGGGGGCCTGCAAGAGGCCCCCTGAGGCGTTTCCCGCCAGTAAAGGGTTACCTCGTATATCTATTTTTGATCTGCACTCACTGGTCCAATGTCGGCCTTTGCCACACCTTCTACATAATCCGGGAGGTGGTTGGGGTCTCCTGTTTAGGCTATTCCTAAAAGGAATATTACTCCTAGGAGTACCCCACGTACAGTTTTTACTTATATGACCTGGTGTACCACATGTAAAACATTTGGTAACACGGGGCCTTCTTTCACCTCTGGGATTTGTCTCTCCTATCCAAGCCTCATTACTGTAGTTACGAGACTCAACACCATTAGTATACTGAATCCATTCTTCCAAAGGAGCTGATCTGATCTTTAATGGTGTAAGTATTCTTCTGCATTCTGCATTAGCATTGTCGAATGCCAAGGACTCAGTTAATACTTTTCTTAATTCTTTATCTGATACAGCTCTTGTTATAGCTGTGTTCAGTCTTTGTAAAAAATCAGTGAAGGGTTCGTGTGGTCCCTGAAATATCTTTGTGTATACCTCAGTTGGTTTTCCAGGTTCTGGAATTTTTTCCCAAGCATTTAGAGCTGCTGTACGGCATAGGGATATTGTATGCTCATCATAAATGGCTTGTACATTCCTGTCAGCAAAACATCCCTCACCAAGTATTTGATCTTGGGAGATCACGAAACCTCTGAGTTTACCTTGTTGTTCTAAAATTTTTGCCTCTTCTCTCAACCAGCTTTTCCACTGTAGCTGCTGGCTATATTCTAGAACAGCTGAAATTAACTGATGCCAGTCATCTGGGATGATTCTATGTGAGGTAGACCACGAATTTAACATCTGTTTTACGTACGTGGAGTGTATCCCATATGTAACTACTGCTTCCTTTATATTTTTAAAGTCCCTTGTGGAAATTGGTTGTAATGTATATGTAGTATATGGCTCGGGGTGTGTGTCATCCGCTGGCTTCTCATGGATGATAACAGGATAAGCCATTGTGTGAGAGCCATTTGGAGATGTTACAACCTCTATGGTCTTGCCCTTCTGCTTATTAGGTCCCTTGTCATGTTTACTGAGAGTTTCTTCTAAGGCCTGCAAACGAGCACCTAGGGTCTGTTCTATGGAGTGAGCCTCCTCTCTGGCAAGGGACTCCAGATTCCTCATGGAATCATAGAAGTTTTTATGTTCCTCAGAAACACATGATTCCATGGACCTTATCTTATCAATTAATGATAATCTTTCTTCCTTATATAGTGTCTGGAGAGTTAGTGTTCTGTCCATTAAATATTCACATTTATTATCAATAAGATCAATTTTTGGTACAAGCCTGTTTTGTAAATCCTGATCAGCAGATTCCAGAGAAAGAATCTTTCTCTCTAAGGTCTCATTGCTATCCCTTAAAGCAGATTCCAGAGATAGAATCTTTTTCTGTAAGCCTTCATTGCTCTCGCTTAAAGCCTGTATCAGTCCCAATAATGACTCATCTTTGTTCTTGTTATTAAACCAGTGTTTGAACACTGTGTGGATTATTACAATGAATGCCAAAATGGTACAGGCCAGATATGCCTTAGGAAGGTCGTATATTTCCAGTAAGATGTCATTCATCATACAAGCAAAAAGGTTTTCGAATTCTTGTGAGGTAATGTTGTCAGCCATATTACAAGAATTACTCAAAATTTGTTAGTCAATTTTAAGGTGTAAAATTATCAGGTGCCTTTGCTTACCTTTCGTGGTTTTTGGGGGGTGTAGTAGCACTTTTCAGCCAGCAGGTGGCGTTGGTACAGCTCCAAAGCAGGGCCTGCTGGTGATCGTGGCTGACTGCAGCTCGCTGGAGTCAAGATGGCGGGAGCCGGAGCCGGCGCCGGCACTCGGGAAGCCGGGGAGTGCCTCTTTCGCTGGTCTCGGGGCTAAGCTAGGGAACTGAGACCGGACTAGCTGCTCCCTCTTTAGGGAATGGAACCCTGTAGGCGTTCCCTGGTTATATGGAACTTTGCAGGCGGGTTTAGGTACCCGCTAGCCGGGGAAGAGGCTGAGGGTGGGAGCCACCCAGGCCTTTGGAATTTGCCCCACGTGAGCGCCAGATATTGGTGAAATTATTAAGGCCACTCCACGTAGATAAAAGGAGATTTATTTAATGGCGTAACTTACAAATTAAGGGATAGGTAGGTCGCGGAGTCTGGGGAAGGTGTATCGCAGTCCAGCGGTGTTCTCTGGAGCTCTGCTTGGTACACCTCTCTAGTCCAGGGTCCTGCAACAGAGAGAGCGCCAGCCGATCCAGCTCTCGGGTCCCCAGGCGCCTCCTTTCGCCCCGCCTTGTAGGCGTGACAGTTGCCGAAGTCTCAATGGGGGTTGGAACTTACAGATCAAAGCTGGAATGGCTACCCACTACAGTGTGGGGTATTATGTGTTTAGGAGTATCCATAGCACAGTACGCCTATGGAAGTGAGAGGACAATTAGTGACCTTGTTCCTCTCTGACCCTTTCTGTGAGTTCTACTGATAGAACTCAGATGGGCAGGCTTGCATGCACAGAGCCTGTACCCTCTGAGTCAACTAATTGGCCTTTATTCTAAACCTTACTGCATACAAAACCCAATAAAATGTTAATAGCAGGTTTTAATTTCCCATATCTTTTATCCTATATCCCCTAACATAATTGAAAGAGATTAACAAAAAACGTGAATACTGGTTTATCAAAGAAATCTTTTTTTTTTCCATTTTACATACCAACCACAGTTCCCCTTCCTCCCCTCCTCTCACTCACCCCCGACCCACCATCCACTCCTCAGAGAGTTTAAGGTCTCTCATGGCATATCAAGTTAAGGCAGGACCAAGGCCCTCTCCCTTGTATAGAGGCTGAGCAAGGCATCCCTCTGTAGCTAGAGTTTTCCTGGTCCTGCCTGGCCCACAGTCAGGACAAATCTCTCTCATTTGCCAGTCCCACAGCTGCTCAGACCCAGCCGAGTAAATTCACAGAGACTTATATTACTTATAAACTGTATGGCTGTGGCAGGCTTCTTGCTAACAGTTCTCATATCTTAAATCAACCCATTTCTATTAATCTATAAGTTGCCATGTGGCTCATGGCTTACCAGTATCTTAACATCTTCTCATGGCGGTGGCTGGCAACGTCTCTCCGACTCAGCCTTCCACTTCCCAGCATTCTCTTCTCTGCTTGTCCCGCCTATACTTCCTGCCTGGCTACTGGCCAATCAGCATTTTATTTATACAGAGCGATATCCACAGCAATCCCTCCACAGAGAATAGACTCCAAAAAGCCAGTTCATACACTAGGGATAAATCCTGGTCCCGCTGCCAGTGGCCCCACAAACTGCCCAAGCCCCACAACTGTCACCGACATTCAGAGGGCAAAGAAATTTTAAGAAATATAGTTGTTGTTTTTTGGTTTTTTTTGCCTTTTAATGAGTTGGTTTAATTAATTCAAAGTGATACAGAATTCAGAGTACAACAAAGATGAAACAGCTCTGGTAGGATTTCAGACTGAGTTTACTTTAAATTCACAGCTGATGTCCGAATTGCTGAACACTAGAGACAATGAGCCATTGTATTATTTATTATTATAATTTTTTTTTTTACAAAAGTTTATTACAATGTACAACAGGCTCCAGGATAACACTTCATTCTAGCTGTAGGTGGCAAAGATGTTATGGCAGGGAATCCAGATGTTTAAATAGAAATGGAAGAGGGTCACCATCATCTCAAATATGCGGAACAGCTTACTCTTTGCCAGATTGCTTAATTACACCTATGGCCAGGGGTCCTTTGCCTGTGGTCTTGGCTTTTAGCTCCCTGAGTTCCTTCTGCTCCTCTTTTTGTTTCTGCTTGAAAGCCTTATCTTCCTCATCCATCTCCTTGGCCTGCTTCTTGGGCTGTTTCAGGGGCTTCTTTTTACCACCTTCGTGGCCCAACATGGCGCCTACAGACAGCCCCTTCACCAGACCCTCAAGAAATGTAGTTTTTGTAGGCTAAACTTTTTCTCCAAAATGCAAACAGATCGCTGACACACTTAGGAAAATCTCATTAGTAACGTATTCACGGTTTGTTGGAGGTCTTTTTCCTCAATGGATGTCTTGCAGATGTTTTTTTTCAGATCCCTAAGCATTACCTAAAATATAGGAACATAAGTGTTTCTGTTAGTAATACAGTGTCCTTACAATGGGAATTTAACAACACGTTCAAGATAGTGATTCTTAATCCCAACATACAGAAAGATGAATAGAATTTGTTGATGTAATCAGGACTATGCAATTTTACATGAGGTTGAGGCAGCATTAATCTTTCCTTAGTTTTCCAGATTACTCAGTTCATTAAACTTCTCATTGACTTTAGGAAACAAGTAAGTGTACGACGTTATGAAAGATAGATGTGAAAAGTTCACAGTGAAAACACAACCATCTCCTGTTCCTAAAATATACATCAAGTATGTTCATTTTTACCTACATCCAATATGAGAATCTTAACGTAAGCCTCCTCCTCAGCTGCCTGGCTAGACTACAAGACCCTTCTGCAGATTCCATTTCAAGTTTCCTCTACACTCTTTGCTGCAATCCCTCAAAAGGTTGAGCACCACAAGCGACACGGCCTTCGGTTATTTTGTCCTAGAGTAACCGAAGAATGATGAAATAAAAACTGAAAAGTGGTGCCTCCCCAGGTCTGCTGTGTTGCAAGCTCTGTCTGACCAGCCAGCCTAGATCAGGGCACCTTGTCCTCTTTCAAGGTGTAGCTGACCCTAAACTGGACTGTTCCAAGCTCAGGGATTTCTCCCGTGTTTTCACTGTTGTCTGCTTGAATATAAGTGGGTTTTCTCACACTCTAAATCACATTTTAGCAGCAGCATCCCTGATCCTTCCATGCAGGGTTTGCCTGTATGCTTTGTCTCACTGTTATTTGTTCATTTTCTTGTTTACAGCAAATTTTAAATCTAGATTCAAGCACATATATGTACACATCACTCACATACACGTGCAGATATCTCTATTTAGAGAAAGACTGAAACAAGGGAATTAACCAGGAGACAAACAGGCATCTACTTTTGTTTCTCTGCTTTTGGATTGCTAAAAATTGCTCATTTTATGAAGACAAGGATTGGGTGTGTTTTATTCTTTAAATCACTTCTAGTATGTGCAATCTCTCAACACATTTTAAAAACGTTTCCCACATATGCATGAACAAAAATAATACAGCAATAATGATGATCTAATTTTATCGGGGTAGATAAAGAGTTGTAAAGCAAACTTCAGGAATTTCAATTAAAAAGCATTTCAATTCTGAAAGTCATGCCAACCAAGCCACCACAGTATCCTCTGTAGAAACCTGGCCTAGAATTCTTTTCTGGCACCTCAATTTGTTTATTGTCATTGTCCTAAAACAAAACTGTATCAGGAAGCATTGTCTGTACCACATGAAATATGTCCCCAAGTGTTTCTGTACTACTTCATAGCTAGCTCCAAGTCTTAGACATTATTTACTTCAAAACATGGACCAAATACTTAACAGGAATGTAAGTGCTTAGATAAACAGCTACTTTAACATATGTTGATTAAGTCTGAAGTGCATCAGAGGAGAACAAAGTTAGTTCAGAGGCATGACTTTCAGAAAATACAGGGCATTTCACAAAGCAAATTTAATCTTGTCAAAGGAGAGGCAAATTTACTTGTAAGAGAGTTCATATCATTACCAGGAAACATTTACGCATCTTGAAAGATATTTTTCTGAAAAGTATGATACCAGGTTGCACCCAGGCACTGAGCTTGCTGTACAGACAAGGAGCCATCACCACCCCCACCTTAATATATGCCATGTCCTCTAGTTAGGAGGTGAACACAAAGGACATCTTACTTCTAACTTCTAATCTAAGGGGCGCTTTCAGTAAACGTATATGCAGAATCCCCACAGCCAAACAGATTCCTTTTCATTGGGTCATAAAATGAAATGTGTTAGTTGAAGAGACTTTTTGTCACAGGGCGATGGTAGGTGTCATCGGAGCTCAGAGGTGAGTCTGCCCTTGGGTTCAGACCTGAAGGGCCGAGTTACTCATGGCACTGCCTGATCTTCTCACTAGGTGCCCGATTCTCTTGTGATACATTAAGAATCAGAGCCTGGTTACCTTCAATAAAGACAGTGATCCAGTGCATTCTGACAAAACAGCAAAAGACTGAGAAGTCTCCTATACTATTTGAATCCATTTACTGTTCCATTCAAAATTATTAACTAGCCTGTTCTCTATAACAGGTACTCATGTCCCAGAAGTTTCTCAATTAAAACCACAGCCCAAACTCTCTTTATGGTGTTACAGTTTTTTGATTTTTTCCTATCTTCAGGATTTTTAAAATAACTGTTCTAAATGCTTTATTTTGAAAGATATACTGACGTCCAAGTTGCATTTCCTCCATTCTTTTTGTGAAGGACTTAACTAATAGATCCTGTGTCTGACCTTTAAGAGAACCGTGAGATACTAAAATCACACTTGGAAAAGCGATTCCTCAGCATGCACCTGTCATGACCTATAATTACTCAGCACCCTTAGCTGCTGAGATTGCAATCTCTGCTGTCATGGTTCCTATTGCCAGAAAGTCGGCCCCTAGCCATAAAGGTGGTGTCAATGTTATTTGCCACTATATAAGCAGAACAAAAAGTTGCTGAGCCTCTATTGAGTTGATAATAGATTAGTGGATATCAGATGCTTATCTGTGTTTGATTACATTTGCTGTGCCAGGGTCTAGAAGCTCTTGACTAATTTTGATAAACTGAATGAAAAAGGGAAAGAGAACATTCGAAGATCTACATTAGTTTTACTTAAGTCACATAACTAAAGTTGAAATAAATATTGGAACATAAGATAGAAGTAGGCAAATTGTCAGTGTCAAGAAGTTCTTAGAAAAATCAAGATTTTAAAGTAAACAAGCCTGGTGTGTCAGTAGAGTTGACCTCCATGCTACCTGGAGATGTGGGGCATGGGGAATGGGATTAATTCCACTCCAAAAGAATCCTGGAAATACTCAAATTTTCAATTTAATCTTCACTCCAGAAGTTTCAAAAGCTGAGTGGAGAATGTCCTGAGATTCTCAGTGTGATGTATTATGCCTTTCTTCATTCTTGCATCTTCTTGCCCCAAAGGTAACAAGTCTTTAAGCACTGGTTACAAAACCAAAAGACAAATCCTTAACAGTGTAGACCCATCCATTACTTCCTGAAGAGCGTTAACTGGGTGTGGTGTTAACTGTGTAACCATTCATCCTGATCCAAACATAAGGAAGGTGGAACTTGGACTGTACGGTACATCAAAGAGCAGAATCCCCTAATAATTGAGAAGCCCTTGCCATCGACTTGCACACTTAGTGACTTCCCAAGCCTTTCTTCTCTCTAATGAAGTCAAATAACTCACAGTCACAATATGCTACAATGGGAAGCCTCCTGTGATCACAGCCATGGATTGTTATTACTGCAGCCATCCATACTCATAATATTCCTTTCTTAACTTGTATGAAAACCATATAAATATGGACTAAACTCTGTGGAATTTGCACTTTTCTCTCTCTTTACGTGATGCATTATTCATGTGAACTTCACAGGATTTATGGTAAAAGCTACCGAATATGCAGTGTGAAATATGTTAGAACTATGTCCCTTTCTAATTAACTTGATGGTGTCTTGAGTTATTCTGAAGTGAACTACTTATGTTTTCATGCACAAAGGCAAATCAGCATTAGCCCATGGAAGTTCTAGCATAAGAGAACTGACAAATGCTTTCACATGAATTTAAGTGTTTTGCCTCTTAACTGAAGTATCTGTGAGTTTGTGGTGAGCTTTACTTATGTCAAAAATGCAAATCATTTCTGGAAAGATTTCAAAAAGTCATACTGTAATAGATTTGTGAGGTATTAAGTACTAATACATGGAAAAACAAACTGAAAGGGACTATGAAAATCAGGGAAAGAAGAATGAATATTGAAATACTTTATATTAATATAAATATTGTATATGTTGAATCTATCAATTCAAGATGCATTAATGATGAGGATAATTTTGTTAATTATAAGTGGTGACTCATCCTCTATGTGAGAAGAAAAGACATTCATCAATCCAAAACATATTAAGACTCCACTGGACCCAATGGCCTAGGTGACTAAACAGTAAGATACAGTGAGAATGTCACAGCCATTGTGCTCTAACTACCATCACCTATAAGTAAGACAGGTAGGGACTGAAAGAATAGGAAACAATCACGGAGGAACCTACATGGGTCTGCCCAAGGTCTTCTGCATACATGGTGTGGCTGTTTAGCTTGGGGTTTTTGTGGGACTCCTAACAGTGGAAGTAGGTGTGTCTCTGACTCTTTTGCCTGTCCTTGGGACCCTTTTCCTCCTACTGTGTTGCCTCATCCAGTCTCAGTATGGGGGTTTGTGCCTAGTCTTATTCCATCTTGTTATGCTGTGTTCTGTTGCTATCCCTGTGAGAACTGTTATTTTTCTGAAGGGAAACAAGGGAAATAGAGGAGCAGCGGGTCTGGGGGAGAGTGGATAGGGGGCTGAGGTCAGGATGAATTGTATAAGAAAATAAGAAATGAAAAGAAAAGAGAAAAAAAGATTAGGAAACATGAGATATCAGATAGTGAGAGTTCTGTCTTCCTCTCTTCTTAACCTGCATACTTATTAACTTCATAAGTGTCCTTATTTCTAAGTTAGTCAACTTAAAACCACTCTAAAAGAATTAGAAGTCTTGGAGATCACAGACTCTTAGAAGCATGGGCTTTTAGACTAATGGGGAAATTACATATGCAGAGTCCTTAACAAGATTAATCTCCTTATTTCTGCACGGCAGTTATTAGACAAGAGGAATTTACTGCTTTTTAGACAATTATCCAAACCTCAAAGAGCACTTTTAGGTGTAGGAAAGTGCAGAGTAGCCCCTAGCCTGGGTTCATATCCAAGAACATGAGTATAAGCTAGAATCTTAGACAAGCCAATTTTATCTAAATTGGGATTCTTTGCAAATGGAGGTAAACACATTTTCCTCATGTTTTAACAATTATTTGAGAAACACAGGAGTAAAGTTCCTTATCAATCATTACCACAGTGTTAATCATAGGTTTATTGTCACCCATAACAATTTTTTTCTAGTTTATGAGATAATACACTGTTAAGAAATGGACTTAGTAGCTGGATGGTGGTGGTGGCACATATCTTTAATCCCAGCACTTGGGAGCCAGAGGCAGTCAGGTCTCTGAGTTCAAGGCCAGCCTTGTCTACAGTTTGAGTACCAGAATGTCCAAAGCTACACAGAGCA